GGGCCGGGAAGGGCCTCCAGAGGCCGAAAATAGCGAAACATTTCCCGTCGTGATTTTTGCATTGCCCGAGGGGGTCTGGGAGTTCGCCTCTCGCAGCAGATTGCACCACCGGTCCTTGGAGGCGCATTAAGAAAAGAGGGGCGGCGCGAGGAGAGCGGCCTTCCAAGACGGCGGGTCGGAGGGGGCCTGGTGAGAAGGCAGGGAGCTGCTTAGAAGTCTCCTGGCTTCTGAGAAGCCTGGATTCTTGCCGCCCTGCGTACTCCAAACCCCGTATGAACCGTCCCCCGGGTCCGGTTTTTTTAAGGCGCTTTTTTGTAACGGGGGGTCCGGTTTATTAAAACGCTTTCTTTGGATTGGAGCTTAGGGGGTCCGGTTTATGAAGGCGCCCCGTCGAAGAGGGGGGTCTGGAATATTAGGCCGCATTTGGAGGGGGTCCGGTTTTTTTTAGGGGGGTGATTAATGAGGTATTTGAAGTAACCCCACCAGCCCATCCAGAGACGATGCCCGAAAGGGTTGCCTCGATCAGGGGAGTGGGCAGCACACAGAGGAAGGGCCCCTCCTGGAGCGCTCCTGGACACCTCTTGGGCGGGGCCTCCTGGGCGCTCCCAGGCCCCGTCTGAGCAGGCCCCCGCCGCCTGATAAGGCGCCCCGCTGCCTCCTCCAAAGGCCGCCTGCCTCGCGCCGTCCCCGCTGTGTGCGCCGCCGAAGCTTGGCATGCGATGTCGCATTTTCCCGAGGCGGAGTTCCCCGAGGTCTCGGCCCTTTCCAGGCCGGTTCCTGCGATCTTGGCGTCTCGAGATTCTTTAGCCGGGCGTTTTCGTCCGGTTTCGGCCCCCAGGACCCTTCCAGATCGATCCGGCTCGAAACTTGGCGCAGAAGGATGGGGTCCAGGTTCGGGTCGCGATTTTTTGTGATGCTTCCCTTTCTTCCCCGTCGTCGGGTCTCAGGGGTGTATCGTTAAGTCGGGCCAGTCCCTCTACAGGAGGGATATTCAAAAATAGTGACAGAATAGGGAGTGGACGATTTGTGAATCTTTTGTTTTGATCATTTTTGGGTATTTTTTTGACTACTTTCCATTTTCGTCCAAAATTTCTCGGTAGGGGCCGTCGTGTTTTTTTTTTGGACGCCGCGAGCACGCCTGGGCAAAATGCCCCCCGCCTCCGAACCCCCGCCGCTGACGCGCACGCGCAGACCCAGACATGCTCGCATCGAAAAAAAACAACAGGACGGGAGGTTTTTTGCCATTTTCGGCCTCGGGGGGCCCTCGCCGGGCCTCAGGAGCGTCAACAAACGACGCAGGATGAAGACCGGTCCCGGGGAGCAGGTCGGGACGTCCAGGGACCCCGTCCTGAAAGAATCAGGGCGTCGCACGTCTGGGGGAGCACCCGACGCGCCCGAGGCCACCTACGTCCTCGTGTTCACCCGGGCGGCTGAGCCCGGGCCAGGCGTCGTGGACCGCGGGGCGACCATCTCCAGGCCGCTGGAGAGGGCCAGGAGGATCTTCAGGCAGCAGAAGGACCCCAGCATGGGATCCCGGCATGACTCGAGATCCGGGCGATGCAGCTTTTCTCGGGGGCGGAAAAGAGGGGGGTGATGACTAGGGGGGGGGGTGTATATCATGGCGGGGGCCATGATATTTCCCCAGATTTCATGGCGCCTCTTCTTATTTCATTACGTCCCTGGCCCCCCCGCTGGGCCGCGCACATGGCATGATTTGCACCCCCCCCTTCCTGGACATCCCCCTCTTGGCCGCTCCCGATTTTCATCACAACAGGCATTGTTGCCTGGTTTCGGGCCCGGGGACCCTCTCCGATGAACCCGGCGTGCCGGCGTTTCACATGCCGCCGAAAAAGGAGGTCCAGGGTTTTGGTCGAGATGTTTCAAGATGTTGCATTTTTTTTTCGCGAGGTTGGATCCCAGAGGTCCACGCGTCGTGAAAAAATAGCGACCAGAGGTTATTGTCAGTGTTCGGTTTCCAAGGGCCCCGACGGGGCCCCCCATGCGTGGGGACCTGGGACCGCCAGAAAACGACTTGGGGCGAAAACCCGGTCCTCGGAGAAGGGTCGGAGAAGGGTCGGGACTTTCAAGGACCCCGCGGCATCGGATCTCAGGGCTGACATCCGGACACTGCCCTTTTCGTCGCTGCCCCCCTCGTCGCTGTCGTTCCTTGTCGCTCGCTCTCCTCCTTCCCCTGGCCCTGGGTTCGTCGTGGTCCCTGGCTGCCGTTCCCTCCTCTGCCCCCTGCTTCTGGTGTTCTCCCGGGTCGTCCGCCCTGGGGGCCGTGTGACAGGCGGGGCGGGCTTGGGTATGTTTTTCGACATTCCCGGCCCATTGCGTAGGCGACGCCGAGCACAATGGTCGGAGCGACGATGCCTTTTTTTCTCGAAGATTTCAAGGGGGACCCCCCCCCCCGGACCGGACAATTGGCGTTCACTAAACCGCCCGGGGCGTTTACTAAACGGCTCTGCCCTGTTCGATTCCTCCTCTGGGTGCGTTTACTAAACGGTCTCGCTTGTCGGGGTGGTTATTCTGGGGGTGGATTTTCTGTCCTCTAAGACTGTAGAGCGCAAGCATCAATTTTCGGTTCGTCGCGCGGACTTCTCTTGGATCGGCGCTGGCCCGACGGCGCCTCCGTCGCCGCTCCTGGCGCGCTGCGCGCGCCAGGGGCGGCGATCCAAGAGATCCGCGCGGACCTCGGCAAGCCCGAGCTGATGATTCTCCTTGCTCCTCCTGGTCCAGGAGGGGAAGGAACACAGGCACAATGGATCGTCGACTCCCAGAGGGTTGGGTCAAAGTCGGGTCAAACTCGGGTCTTCGGGCTGGGTCCTTCCGCATCGTGAGGATGGGCAACCTTCCCAAGGCTGCTCTTGCATTCTGATGTTCCAACCTACTTTAGCTTTGACCGCCAGAAAGAATTTCGAGCACCAAGAAATTACCGAAACGGGAAGGTTTTCACGTGTCGGGCCCTGAGAGGCGATACTCGTTCGACACCGTTTCGATACTTTTGCTGGGTGCTCGAAATTATTTCTGGGATGTCGTCCTTCAGTACGATGCGAACAGATAACCCTTGCAGCCTTGCCCCTTCGGCCCATCCTCATAGGGACTTTCGCTGGCCAGCCTCTTTCGAACGACGTTCACGTGGCCCTCCCAGGCCCGGGCATCCTCACCGCGCTTCCTTCTGATACGGGTCGACCGTGCCCTAGCAGAGCACCCTAAGAGCAGCAAAGGTGAAGAGGCGGGTCGAGGACGAGGGCGAGAGTACGGCCATGTGCACCTGAGTATCTTTTACTGGGGATCGTGGCCGTCTCGACCAAACATGTTGTGCCGACATTGAGGCGAGAGTGCGATCCCTGAATCCACTGTGAGGAAGTCTCTGGCGAAACGGCTGCCGCACCGTGCCGGGACCAGGCGGTCTATAGCCCCGTCCCGCCTTGTGGGACTCGTCCGTGGTCTTTTTTTACGACCTTTGTGAGAATCCTCCTTAGCGAAGCGCTATCGGACGGGGCTAGAACGAGGATAGATACGTTCCAGAGCGTTCCAGATGCTCTGAAAGTGTTTTTAAATTCTCTGAGAGCGTTCTGGAACGCTCTGCGAAGGCCGTGGCGCCTGAGACATGCCGTCGGATCTCAGCGATTCTCGATTCATCCTCACCCGAATTGATCCCCGTCCTGACTTTGTCTCACGCTATGCGGGGAACATCGGAGCGCGTTCTTTCGTTCGTGGTGTGTGGCGGCTGCGGCGGCGTCGGTCGGACCTGAGCCCCTCCCGGCGGGCTTCGGGACTTTGCCTTCCAGGGCCCCGCGGGGCCCACATCGTCGGCGCGCCGCCAGGCTGGCAGAGCGGGCCCGCAGATTCTTGATCCCAGGGGGCGCCGGCTGTGCACGGCGGGTTGGCGTCGTGACGGCCCCGACGCGCAGCGTCCTGTGGATTGTTTTGCTTGCCGTTCGGTGAGCCCGTGACGTCTGTCCCCCCCTCCCTCCCCCCCCCCTCCCCGTAGCAGTATCGAGCGTACGCTGTGGGGTGGGGTGGGTGCTCGTGCCCCTGCAGGCACGGCGCGGTTCTCACATGCGTGCCGTAGTGCTGCAAGGCATGCTGTGGCGCTCGCAGGCCCGACCCCCGCTCTTCCCTCCCGCGTCACGGACGTTGCAGGGGGGGGGGGGGCGCAAACACAATCTCCAGAACAAATTGGGACGGAAGGTCTTCGCCGTTTCGGGCCTCATGGGGGCCCTCGCTGGGCCCCGGGACCTCCCAAATACGGCCCGGGCCCGTGACGACAAGCCGGCCCTGAGGAACGGGTCGGGGCCTCCAGGGACCCCGTGTTGGGAGAAGTCAGGACGTCAGGCTGGTGTCGTGCCGCTTCGGCGTGGATAGGCCCTGTCGGGCCCCTGTAGTGGGCACGAAGGTGCCGCCCTTGCATGTCTGTGGTCGGGTATAGCCTAGTTTGATCTGAGGACTTGTTTTCTCCCGTGCGCCACTGCAGCGGGCACTGACCGGACAGGTTCCGCAGGTCAGCGAAGGCCCAACCATTTATCCGCAGTCATGGGGTTTCATCAGCAAATCATGGGAGCCTGGTATGCCCTTTTAATTCCCTACCTAGGCTCTGCCTAGAGGGTTCTTACTCTCTTAGCTTAAAGGGGCCGGGCAGTGCAAAGCGCCCCGGGCGGTTCCCCCAGTCCCCGCCCCGCGGTTCCCCCAGTCGCGCCCCCTGGGTTCCCCTAGCTTAGCTTAGCTTAGCTTAACTTACCTTACCTCAGCTCAGCTTAGCTTAGCTTAGCTTAGCTCAGCTCAGCTCAGCTTAGCTTAGCTTAGCTTAGCTTAGCTTAACGTAGCTTAGCTTAGCTTAGCTTAGCTTAGCTTAGCTTATTTGATCTTAGCTTAACTTAGTCTAGCCTAGCTTAACCTAGCCTAGCTTAGCTTAACTTACCTTAGCTGACCTTAGCTTAGCTTAGCTCAGCTTATCTTAGCTTAGCTTTGCTGGTCTCATCTTAGCTTAGTTTAGCTCAGCCTAGCCTAGCTTAGCTTAGCTTAGTTTAGCTTAGCCTAGCCTAGCTTAGCTTAGCTTAGCGTAGTTTAGCTTAGCCTAGCTTAGCTTAACTTAGCTTAGCTTATCGCATATTAGCTTAGCTTAGCTTAGCTTAGCATAGCTTAGCTTACCGCAGCTTAGCGTAGCTTAGCTTAGCTTATCTCAGCTTAGCTTAGCTTAGCTTAACTTAGCTATCTTAGCTTAGCTTAGCTTAGCTTATGCTGCTTTCCTAGGGGCTCCAACTGCTAGGTAGGGTCGCGCAGGGATAATGTTGTCTTTAGCGTCGAATAGCGTCGATTAGCGTCTGGTAGTGGATGAGATAGCGCCCATTAAGCGTCGATGTAGCGTCGATTAGCGTCGATATAGCGTCGATTCGCAAGAGCCGACAGGATGGTATGGGAGTCTCCAGGGGTTGCCACCGAATGGGGTTCTTCAACGTTGGCTCCTGACATCCCGCGGATCGTCCAGCTCGGTGCTTACTGGCAGCGCAGGTCGTCGGCTATCGGCCGATCGACGTCCGGGTCACGTCTAGGAGCAGGAGGAGCAGGAGGAGCAGGAGGAGCAGGAGGAGCAGGATGAGGAGGAGGAGGGGGAGGACCAGTGTAACTCCAAGAGTCATCGACGATGTTGGAATACACCCTCCCTCCAAGCTCCCTATTCATAGGTCCCTACAACGGGTCATTTCCACTGAGGGAACTGCCTCGTTGGAAGACAACCGTGTGAAGACCCTGAAGCATGCCAACACATTGTTCTGGGGATTCCAACGCCACGGATCAACCTGATTGTTGCGTCTTGACGATCCTGAATCGTGCCAGAACGCCATTCCTGGGATTTCAACACCGCGAATCAAGGTAACTGTTGCGCCCTCAGAATGTTGAATCATTTTAGAGTTACCATTTCTGGTACATTGATCTGGGAAATCCGTGAAACTTTTGCAAATCAAACAAATGCGCGGCGCTCAGGCGAGAGCCACATGTTGAAAGCCACCTGCCCTCAATCCGTGAAAGTCTTGCACATTAGAACAACGAATGTGCGCGGACTCAGGCGAGAGCCATGTTTTGAAAACCACCCGCCCTCCATCTGCGAACTTCTTTCAAGTTTTTTGAAAACGAATGCGCGCAGCGCTAAGGTGAGAGCCACATTTTGAAAACCACCCGCCCTCAATCCGTGAAGCTCTTGCAAATGTTTAACACGAGTGTGCGCGGCGCTAGAGCGAGAGCCACATTCTGAAAACCACCCCGCCCTCCATCAGTAAATATGTCGCCAGTGTTGAAGCTTCAGGGCCATACATAAGGAGGAAGTCTCTGGCGTGATGCCCGGCCCGCTCCCTCCTCCTTCCTCTCTCCTCCCTCCTCCCTCCTCAGGGAGGAGGGAGGAGGGCGGAGGAGGCGGAGAAGGCGGAGGAGGCGGAGGAGGCGGAGGAGGAGGAGGAGGAGGAGGAGGAGGAGG